TGTTTACTTTGGTGGTAAAACCCTCTCCTCACCCTTACTTGTCTATACACAGACACATACCACTGCTTGCTCTTACTACGTTTAGGCAGCACTTTCTCTTCGCTTCTTCCTCTGCTTTCATGTCAACCCCTCTGCTTCCTCGCCACAACAGGATTATTGCTCTGATGGCAACTGTCAACCCCTCTGCTTCCTCCTGCCCCTTCCTTCCTTGCCACAACAGGATTATTGCTCTGATGGCAACTTCCCTGGGTATCAAACTGCAGGACACTGAGATGCAGTGACAACTTTGCGAACAGCTGACAGTGCTGAAATGAGGTAAAAGATGATGCTTCTCCTGTTCTCGTTCGAGAAGTACTTCTGGTTTAGTAAATGATTAATTGTACCGATACGATCCCTTCAGCTTACTAATTTGCAATTCTTTCTGGGAGGAAGGAGCTGCTCGCTCCGTGACAGATTACAGGACAGCACCTTCCAACTGCAGAACTCACCCTGCCACACACAGTTTTGTGATGTTCCCCCTATATTTCAGGGTTTTTTCATCTTATCCATTGAGGGAGAACTGAAAGCTTCCATTTGGAAGCTAATAATCACAACCTTAATTTAACCTACAGTATACAACTGGACTAAGGTCTATTGTGATAGACAGTCAAAGAAGCAAAGCGCAGACAGAAAAAAACCCAGGCTGCTAAATTTAACTGAATTGGAGAAGGCCGTTAATACTGAAGGTCTTACAGGGTTCAGCATCACCAGTTGCTGATTCCTCAAGCCAGAATTCCAACCTTTTAAATTCACTATCATCAGAAAACCTAACTCTCCTTCCATTCAAATGAAGTAAAAAAACACTGCTACTTCATAACATAAAGTTTCAGTTAAAGTAACTCATTTAAGGAGTCCAATGCCACTAAAAGAGCGAGCGTGATTTTGCATGACTTAGCATCATATTTTAAAAACCCAGTTTAGGTCACCAGTTTTATGTTCTCATACTCCAAAGGACATCTCAATTTACTTTCTCTCCTCATTTATTTATTCAGTTATTACTATGCTATCAGTTGGCACTACCACTGAATGACAAGCTTCGTTACACTTAATGCAGTATCATACACTTTTCTGCTGCACAGATGAAAACTCAAACTCCTACTTCTATATCATTATCTTCTATAATACCATCCAGTTAAAAACAATTTGGTACCTAGCTTCTGAGTTTTGTAAAATTCAGCACTGTTTTGTGGCTGAGCAGCTCATCACAGCAGTGCTGTGTTATCTAGCTCCAGAAGGGCTCATGATTGCAGCTCCAGAGCAGGTCATCAATTTACTGTCAACGAATTCCAGAACGGTTCACTGATTCAGTGGTATCTAACATTGGAACTGGCAGCAATTCATTGTCATTGAGTGTCAGAGTGGTGTATTAATTCAATGTCACATAATTCCAGAGAAGTGTATTCAAAGTCACCTATCTCCAAAGCAGTTCTTCATTTCAACATCACCAAAGTCCACAGTGGTGCATTAATTCTGTCTCATCGCCTTCCACTGTAGTTCATCAATTCAGTGGCCAGAAACTCAGAAGTAGCATTTAACCTGATTAAATCTCATCAAGAAAGAAAAAGGTGCCGAGAAAATGGAAAGACATAAATCACACATATGTAGGCATTAAATCTAGAGGTCAAGGGACCTCCGTTGTAAAGACCTAAGTGATTTAGTTAGCCAGATACTTGTGAAGTATTTTAAAAACATGCATCTACCAAATTCTTTAGCTACCCATCTAGCATATTCAAAACCTACTACATGCTGTATACTCATGGATATCCAAAAACATACAGCAACTGCATGTCTTCCTTTAAAATCGACCGAATTAAAACTCTAGTCATTATCAAGTATCCCTGAATAAAATAATTCAGCCATCACCTTCTTAAAACTGCTGCCCAGTTGGGAGAACTGCTGCAGTGCAGCCTATGAGTCAGAAGGATACAGAGGCCTCTGCTGCCCTGACGGGAGAGGTCTGCCCAAAGACTTCTGCTGGAACCTGCCGACTCCTTCCACGTCAGAGAAAGATTTGAAAAAAGCTGAAAGCTGCAGAGAAGCCTTACGTCCTCACTGCGTATGGCCTGGATGCATTTTACAGAACATAACCTTAACCGGACCTCTCCCAGGCACAAAGAAATGCAGTCAACTGGCACTAGCTCGCTCTTTCTCTCCCTCTCCATCATCGATGGTGGCTATAACAGTACACATAATCTTACCTTGCTCTTAATACAATTAAACTTCTGACCACTGAATAATCCCTATGTGTTACACCACACACGTGCTCAATTCTTTCTTAAGGAAGAAGAAATACCCATGATAATACACGCTCGATTTCCAAAAATCTTCTGCTGGTTACGTGGGTAGTATCAGAAAGCCTGATGAATGTATTTTAACTGCCGTCCCCCAGACAATGTCTCAGGCTACAGTCTATTGCCCAATTTTACGGCATGTTCACACATACTTGAGCCCATTAAGTCTAATATTTTTAAGAACTTTAAAAATCTGTAAGCAAGTTTTCATGAAGTACCAATTTCAGTATTGCAAGGAGGTTCTACAGTAGCATCTTTATACAGAAGGAACAGATTTGCATCCTCTTTAAACTACTATCCTGAAAAATCTGAATTTCGATCTTTAATCTATGCACGATACTCTTACCCATATGCAGCAAACTGGTACTGAAACAAACTAGAGATGGGTTTCCTAATACTCCTGGCTATTATTGCATCCATTAGAACAATAATTAGAAGACTAATTATAGAAAAAGTACAGCCGAATCAGCCCAGTTAGTTAAAGGCGGCCCTTCCTTGGTAACCCTCAGACCGTCCACTCTGTGGCTCACAACCTGCAGCGTGGGAAAGACTCTGTCTGTCACGGAACATCTTTGTCACCTTTGACAATAACGGGGTGGCACTCTGGCTCTCTGCCTGCCAATATGCCAGCCAAAGAGCCCAGAGTGAGGAGCAAAAGCAAGAAAGCTGACGCAGCTCACTTCTCCCTGCAGCAAAGGAGAAAAAGGGATCACCTTGGGCTCCGAGTCCCAATTTGCCCAGTGCTCTCTGTGCCTGGACACAGGCACAAGGAATTACCTCTTACTCGGGGCAGGTGGAAAGGTGACAGTCGAACATTAGGGCAGATGAAAGACGGATGGAAATTTTTTTGCCCCTAGCTTGCCATGCAGACCTCTGTGGGAACAGAGATCAAAACAAAATCTGTGGCAGCATCATCTCTACAGCATCAAGGCTTTAAAAGCTGCACTCAAACTAAAATTGCTCGTTATATTACTGGGGGCTTCCAGAAACTGTAAGGTTTTATTACGTACACACTTTGTTAAGTGCCCAAATCTCACTGATGTTTAGGAACAGGCTGGTACAGACATAGCGCTTATGGTATCTCCCCCTGCTCATCTCCCTGGATTGAGAAGTAACTAAATATTGCTTATCTGCATAAAACTGAAGTCTGTAGTAAATCTGAACTCCATTTGTATTTCATGGTTTCAAAATACCAACGTGATGTCCTTTTTTGAATGAATTATACGCACACTTCACTGAACAGCAGGTACCCAAAGCCTGGCCTCCTGGGGATTCCTCAACTAACACAAGGGGGAATGCAATGAGATGGTACGGCAGTGCCTCTTGGACAGATATTTATAAACAAAAGAGGCTAAAGTTTTCCCCTTAACCTATTAGTTTATAGGAGTGTTGTTGGTCAGGATAAGCCTTGGCTTTTTTTTTCCAGTGCTAAAGATTTGCTCTACGATTAACAGTAGTGGCAGCAGAGGAGAAAAAAGCTCCAGCCACCTGCAACACATCTGGGCCACAGCTCACACTGGAATAACTGTGACTGCAGAATGATGACTTGCAATAAACTTACATTCAATTTGAAATGAAAGGAAGTAACATTTCCATAGCCTTTAAACAAAGGTTCAATTCCTCACTGCCCTCTTCTCAGTGCAACAGTCCACCGCCCTGGCCTTATTTTCATTGCATCCGTGACGCTCCTTAGCTAGAGCACGGAAAAACTGCGACTTGCAGAGACCAAAAATACACAAAACTCCCCACAAAACCTGAGATAACAAACAAAGTCTGTGTGAAAACGTGTACCAAAATACTTCTTGGTATAAGGTTTGGGTTTTTTAACTAGGGTCCAACTGTGGCTTAAATAGGAAGTTGTACAGGATGGGCTAGGACGCTAAGTGAGCCAGGTACTTCCGAGACCGTTTCCTTACAGGGAGGATGATAAAAATCACCAAAAGACCTTCCAAATTACCTTTATTAGAAAAAGAAAACCATTAAAGAGAAATAGAAAACCCTCACCATGAGACAGAGCCAAAGCAAAACCGTTTGTAAGTAAACTCCTTCCTGCCTAGAGATGCTGCAAAGAACCTTCTTGTCTTTGTCGCAGCAGGTCCTTGCCTCCAGTTTGCTCTCAGTCAGGGTTGCAATAATCTCCATGCAGACCCCCAGGGGTGCCGAAGGAGTCTTTTTCTTCCCGTCGCTCTTGCTGCGTATGTGTTCCCCATTCCTCTGTGTCCCAACATTTGCTGCAATGTTAGTAGCCCAGCAGGGAGGAAGTCTGCATTTGGGCTGTATAATGTGTTTACAAAAAAGTGACATTCCATCACAAAAAGCCCCAGTTACACTGAAAACGTTCAATTAGCGCCATCAGCTCTCTGTTTATATATAAATATGACTTCTGTCTGTGTCAGTGAGACCTACAACTGTGTAACATGGACACGATTTGTGTGGATTTAGCTCCAGACTGATCAGCTCCACATATGGAAGGCAAGCAGAGAGATCCACAAATGCATTCTCTGCTGCTCACGTACCATCATCACCGCGGTACTTCTGGTAACAAAACAAGGTCACTAGCAGTTAGCAATATCCTCAAAAAATAACTAGAGTGCAGTCACCAGTATCCTCAAAAATTAACAATATGTGTATACTACAAAGAGACTGAAAAATAAGGATTTTTAAACTTACTTTTGGAAGGGACACGCAGATTGGATCGTACCACTTGTAAGGAGTCCGCTTGAACTCGAAGCTCGTAACTTTTCACACTTTCATAATCCAGAGACTTTTTAACTGAGATCACGCCTGTTCTGTTATTAATAGCAAACACATCTGAAAACCAACAAAACCAGAAGTAACTTTCTAAGATGCATAAACTCTTTTTTTTTTTTTTTAATGCCTAAGTGCTTCTATTTTGGTGACGACGCTACCTTCAGAAAGTCATTCCCATCCCTCCCTCAGTCCTCTAAAAGCCCATGTAACTCCTCTTTGAAGCTGTCTTCAAAGGAGCACAGCAGCTGAATCTGACCTGGTACTGGAATAACCAACTTGAGGACAGCCTGGCAAGAGGAGACAAGACGAACAGCCCACTCTCACAAAATGGAGGATGGGATGGAGAATTTATCCACATCCCTCCAAATAATTTACTGTCGTTTTGTAGAGGTTTCGAGGTGGATCACGGACAGTACCCGAGAAGGATGCAAATGCAGGAGTGATGTTTTGTTTAATTATCAGGCTCTAATCTCATACTTGTGGCAACAGCATGGCAAAGTCTACAATGCCTTAAAACAGATTTCTAAGCAAGAAGTACAACTCCATCACAGCTATTTATATTCTTATTTCAGTAATATTCTTATATTCCTATCAGCGCCACGGATTCACACCATGTGGCGCTGATAGGAATTTTCACATCAGTGAGAATTTCATTGTATTTTAATTTTTATTGCAATTCTGCTAACTAATCTGATCCTAAAGGCTTGATAACAGCAGTCCCTCCTGCTTGTGTCGATGAGGTGGGATTTCACCTCAGCAACTTTATTTCTAATTAGGATTTCTTGACGACTTCTGATGTATGCACTAGGAATCTGATCTTTAGCTGATCTCTAAAGGCTTGATAACAGTAGTCCCTCCTGCTTGTGTCGATGAGGTGGGATTTCACCTCAGCAACTTTATTTCTAATTAGGATTTCTTGACGACTTCTGATGTATGCACTAGGTTCAGCATAACCACTAAGGCCGAAATATTAGTACTTACCCTCTTCGTTTCCTGAAACGATTGAATATACAATTGTCTGGTTCAAGGCGGCCGCTGTAACAACTGTGACCACAGTTCCTTTTGGTGCACTTTCACTCACTGGTGGGGGTCTGCAGAATTGAACAAAAGCATTTGTGTTATCTTCCAGGTGCCTGAACAGCAGACTACTGAAACTTATTCCCCAGGTTAGCAGTTTCATCCATCTATTAGGCTGCCAAAGTGGGAGGATCTGTTATTACAGAAAGACTTATTAAAAAGGCAAATGTTTAACCTTCGCCTCTGCAAATGCAAAAACTAGTAAGAAGTCAAACTGACAAGAGGAGACAATACAAAGATGTAATAGTTCTTTGATATGAGAAGTGGAAAAGCGGGGAATAATGAGGGGAAAATAAGAGAAACCACCACAGATTGACAAACTGCAAGTAAAATTTAGAAGATAATAGCTCTTTTATAATAGTCACCTCTCCTAAGAAAACTCAGTAATCTATCAGAAATGTATGCAGGAAATTTCATTCATGGGCAAACCTCATCATTCCTCTTGGTAAATCATTTAAACAGTAAGTACTTTAAAGCCACCTCCACAGGAATTTCTACTCTTCAGAAAGATCCAAAAATTCTGCTGCCAACGCATTTCAGTACTAAAAGCGAAGATGCTTTCCAGGAAGTCAACTGCAACTCAAGTATACCTACGTAACTTTCAAGCATTCAGTAAATTGCTTCTGATTCACTGAGCACTGATTTGTGTGAAGAAAGAAAAAGAAAAAAAGATTACACTAGTAACACATTGGTATCTCATGTTCTTCATACCCTACAAACACTGAAAACTGAACATCTCATATTCAGCATAGTTTCATCATGTGTAAATAATGAGTTTCCTCCTGGAACACAGCAAAGAATTGCTCTACTCTTTCTCTTCTATTGTTTAAATGCAACTTCCTCAGAAAATGTCACGAGTAACATTTTGAGATGCTGTTTCCTCAAGGAAACTGTAACTGTTTCAGGATGAACAAAGAGTCTGTGCTAATGTATTTAAAACAGCAATCTAAACAATTTCAACAAGAAGTCAGACTCCTGAGCTAAAAGCAAATCCAGTGTTCAGATTTTCATCACAGCAAGTAGAGGCTGAATTAATGCTTAAAACTATTCATATGCTAGTGAACAAATAAATTTGAAAGGTAATTTTTGCACTCATCCATAAATGCAGATGCATCTTTATTAAAACTAGCATTATCCAGGTATTTTCCATTTTTAAAAATTACACTAATTCAGTATATAATGAAATAAAAGACAGATGAAGATATGTTGAGATAGGCCTCTAAATAGGAGTAGACTTGAAAGAGTATTTCAGTTGTGCACTGATCTTCAAAATTCTGGACAGAATCTACACCTGCTTTTGTTTCAGAGAATATTTTGTGACTTTCCTCTTCCATCCTCCCGGTATTTTTCAAACACTCTACCCCAGACCACATTTTCCCCTTCTAAGGGCAGAAAGCTGGAACCCCAGGTTGCAGGTTGAATCTAAACCTTTGCCATCACCCACCAAGAGACCAACAATCTGCCCTTGATCTCTGTCTTACAAATATTTTCTTTGGGATGAATATTGATTTGAACATCCTAGAAAAAGTTCTAGATAATGACACTGGATATACAGAATTAAGTTAAAAATTTCAGTGGGTAAATTATTCATTATTGTTTTAACCCCCCAAAAAAAAGTAAAAAAAAAAAATAGACCTGGGTAGTTTGGGTGACGCTGCCTGTTACATGACCTCTTGCCCTGGAGACGATGTACTTGCCTTTATGGTTCACGGCTTTCTGCAGCAACTGCCTTCCGCCAACATGAAGGCTGGTCAGAAGTCTAGCTATACTTCAGCCTCTTCCCTCCAGTTGCTATTGGGACTGCCTTCACCCTGACCCTAGACGCTCTGCCTACTCCCTTACTTTGCCCTAAGTGTTACACTTCTCTTGCTCTTCCTGAGTTCTTGGCCTCAGCCTAATCCAATTATGGCACCGTATTGCTGGCTTGACTGCTCATCCTCCAGATTTACACCACCTGTAAAAAAGATGCCAAAGGCAAACCATATCCCATTGCCTTATTTACTTGTTTTGGTTTGCTTCGTGCAGAGGGCCCAGTCTGTTTAAAATGAAAACTCTGTATCTCGCTTAGCATGGTGAGGTATCAAGTCTTCTGAGCATCCCTAGGCCTTCCACTGTACAAAAAAACGGGGAGAAAATACTGTGCCAGGCTGAGCCGCACTGGATCACGTAATAGCGACCGTACTGGAACGCTGACCTCCCGTTAGTTTTGCAGAAAAGGATGACGGTAAGTTCACTTTTACTCGAACGCACAGGCACAGAGCAGATCGCTCTGGCTCCCACCCTTCTGCCTCACGTATGCTACCAGCAGTAGAAATAAAATTCATTATTGCTGCCTGATTTATTAAGCCGCAAAACCAGTGCTATAAAATGCTTATTAATGTGCATTTTACAAGCGCAAAGGTTAATCTTAGGAAAAAAAGGCTGTCAAATCTGAAAGCATTTCAAGCTGTAGCTCTTTTGATGAGGTCAGAGATGCAGGCCAGCAAGGAAAATAAAGATCCTTTTTATGTTGCATTATATATTATGTTGTTTTCTTTGTCTTCTGAAGGCGTATAATTTGAACAAAAACCCTCATGACTGCGTATACACAAACCTCACATTTTATCCGAAGCACACTTTCAGTATATTCTTTTAATGGAAATGGCCTCGTAACTTCCCCTCTGACATAGCTGAATTCAATGAATTGACAAATCAATATCAATTAGCAAGTCGCTTTTGTGTTTGCTATGAGAGGCTACAGAGGGAGCGGACAGAAAACCACCCCAGTAATTGGACTGATTTCATTTCCCTGATTTAACTAAGGTGATGAGGTTCAACGGGAGCAATGCATCAGCTGAATTAAAACATACAGTTGGTCTCCTAAGAATATTTTGCTGAACTGTAGAGAAGTGAACCAGCAAAAGACAATGGCATTCAGCTGACAATACACTGTTCTTTATCCTGTACTACAAGCTCTAATAAGCTTTCTTTGGGGATAAGTTAATTATTTTTCCAATTTTTGAATAACTAAGATGTACAACAGTGCTCTTTTTTGGGGAGGGGTAAGTGGTAGGCATACTATTTGAAGCCGTTTCAGGGGACAGGCAAGGGCATTTTTATGCAATAATTTTGCATGACTGGATGATAACGCCCGGTTATTTTGCGAGACGACGCGACACGAGTAAAGCAGTGCAATCCAGTCCAAGTCACCCCAAGAAGGCTTAGAAAACCGATAGTGTAGTGAAAGGGCAGGGTACTGATGTGACTTTCACACGTGATTACGATTCAGAGCTGTCTGAAGGTATTTTTGTCTGATAATCTTTGCAATATCTTATTGAGCCTCTGAGTGCAACTGCCAATAGTCATTACCTTGTCAGCCACAGGTTCTGCCCGTACGCAACGGTACATTTCTGTCACTGTCACCTGTGTGGGATTGGCATGCCATTATTGCCTTACAGTCCAGAGCTGACTTCTTTGAAATATTTTAAATGAAACTGTTACTTTCGGAGCTTCTGAACAAAACACCTTCTCAACTACGTGATTTCTAGTATTCTGTCCCAATACTTACATGTACGAGTATCCACATACATACAGTCACTGAAAGTAAGAAGGCCCCATGCATTAACATGATAATCCACTTGCACCCCGTAAATCTTAGTGTGAAATGGGATAAACGGCAATTAACATACACTTTAGCCACCTCAGCTGCAACTCAGTCTACCCATAGTCTTAATTTTTCCTCCTGAACACTTTCCTTGGCACAACCATCTTTTGACCGTGACAAAATAAATTTATTTCTGTACCAATGGTTTGTTCATTCACCTGTTTTTTCTTCCATAATCGTCACAGCAATGTGCAATTTAGGTTGGTCCTTCCTTAGCACAACCATCTTTTCACCATGACAAAATACATATATTTCTATACCAATGGTTTGTTCATTCGCCTGAGTTTTTTTCCGTAACCGTCACAGCAATGTGCAATTTAGGTTGGT